GCCTGGCCTAGGGAGGATTTTAAATCGGGTTTTTTAAATCGGGTTTTTTTAAGAATAATTTTAACTGCACAACTTTAAATATTGGTTTAATTTGGTTTTATCTGGTGGGGGTTGTAAATATGTCTATGTTTTTAAATATGTTGTGAGCCGCCCTGAGTCCCGTTGGGAGAAGGGTGGGATATAAATCAAAATAAATAAATAAATAAATAAATAAATAATAAATACTTTGTAATACCACAGTGCTACAATTGCATAGTTTATCTCATGTATGGCATTTTTCAAGTTGTTGCCCAGGTTATATGTCTTTCAGAATTTCTAGCCAACGCAAAGCATTTTGACATCAATTCCTAACTATGATAATTGATCATGAATAAAAATAAGCAATAGGGCTGGGTCTTGTTCATATGTTAAGCAAATATATGCAGAAGGCTTTGCATATAGAATAATCACAATATTAAGTCATAAGAGACAGCTTCCAGGTAGTACAGTGCTGGTAGATAGTTTTAATACGCAAGAGAGGACACATATTAAAATCTAAATTTCCCATTTTTGGTTGAAATCATGCAAATTGTGCAATAAATGAAGCATATTAGGCACAGTTAAGCAAAGCATTAATATTTCCATTCATATTTTACATAAGGATACATTTTAAAATTAATATTAATTTTCAACCAACTTGCCATTTCATTTATAGTACATATAGACAATTCAGCAACACTAATGAAAGCTTCTTTGGTTAGCCATATCTTCAGAGATAAGTATATACTCAATTTGATATGCTTCAAATACTTCCAAATAAATCAAGACAAATACTTCCAAATAAATCAAGACAATTAGTTTCTCTACTGCAGTTTTCTGGGGCTGGTGATGCAATTAGGATTAATGGAGCGTCTTGGAGAGAGTCTTGCAATTACATCTGCCATAGAGTATAGGAGAGTCTTGCAACTACATCTGCCATAGAGTATGTTTGGAGGTCCTTCTCCAATGGCAGAGACGAAAGTGATTGCTCCAAATAGGAGAAGATTCAGTCTCCCACGCTTCCTATTGACTACTGCAGAAAAGTATTATTTATACTCAAATGCCTTCAGATAGAGAAAAGTCAAACATGCCAGGACGGGCTGTGGATTTAGAGGATCCAAACCCCTTCTGTTCTGAAATATCAGTGGAAAATAAGAGCCAGAGAAATTATTTCACTTCAGTTAAGAGAAAAGATGTTTTCAGAGTTGTAAAAAGTCAAATGAAAGACAGGATAATGTCACTTCAGACCTACCATATACATACTAGCAGGCAATACACTGTGGAGGAAAAAGTAGTTTTGTTACTTTGATTTCTTCCTCTCTCCTACAATTGTTCCTTAATGGTGATAATCATATATCTTTAGTGAATTTAAATCTACAGTTATTAATGTACATTTAAAAGTGAGAACATAGCCATTTATTAGGAGTTCTCAATATCTATATTACTTTCTTTGGCTTTATTATTAATATTCCATATGATAAGCAGATATGCCTGCTCTATATCTGGTTTATAAGTAAGTGCATCTGCTGCTGCTTATATATTTGTCAGCTTCATATATAATATATATATTTTTCTGATTTTAAAGTGTGATTAAATTATCTCTGCACCGCTACCTTTAAAATACTTAATGTGAGCATATTTTTATTTAGCAATATCTCCACAAAAGCTTTTTGTTTTCGCCTTTGTTAAGAACCTTGTCTACATAGTTATGTACAGATAAGCCGTTGTGGCTAATGTACAAATAATAGTAGATAGAGGAACATTAAGCAACAAAGTATGCATTCTTTAAAGGCTTGGTTTTGCAAATTTTTCCAGACATGCAGAATAATACACATTTTTTGGAATAAGTGATATATACCAGACACAGTCCATGTTTACCAGTTTCTTCAAGGTTTATATATTTTCAGACCCAAAATGTATGTAAATGAAGTTTTAGCAGCTAATGTCATATATACTGATTTGCAGTTTGAACGGAGTTGTGTTCACCAACACTGACCACAGCAATTGTCGTAAGTCTGTAGTCCCCCCTTCAATTGCATATTTTTCAATTTTGAGTAAGTAGTTTTCCATTGAGGATGTAAGCAGCCAATTACATAATTTACACAGAAAAAAAAGCAACTGAGAATCATGACTGGTTTTGGATTTTGGCTTATGCCTAATTAAGCAAAGAGGACATGTTGCAAAAAGATAGGGGACATAGTGGCACCTAAACCTTCATATGATGAACCTACTGAAAACTTAGCCACCAAATATAAGTTTTCAACCAACATGTTCTGGAATTTAAAAATTATAAAAAGGTAATTAACGGTGTCTTGAGCACATAAGGTGCCATGTGTTCTATTCATATTTCATTCTCTCCCTCTCCATTTGGCTCATAAATTTAGCTTTTATGAAAGTTTATATTCATTAGAGGATTTCCTGGAATCAAAATAGATTGTCTCATGAACCACATACTGGATATCTTTCTGCAGATTAAAGCAGATTACATAATTTGAATGCATTTGGAATGTTAACAATCCCATCAGATTGGAATTATATGTTGGATTTTTCCTTGTATTTTGATTAATCATTATTCATTGGGTGATCCTGAAGCTTCCTATGAGTCAAAGAGTGCCCAAACAAACAAACAAAAAAGCTAATTTTGGCCTATCCCTAGGATGAAAAAGATTAAGTAAGAAAAACATCCTATGGCCATGCCAATCAGCAAAAGTGATTATATTTGTTTGGCTTTCATTTCAGTCCACCTTTTCCTTGAATTACTGAGAATAGTTCCAGCCCTTCATTTTGAAGCTTGGTCTGAATACAGGTTAGTGATAATGGATTAAAACAAAGAAACACACATCGATTTCCAAATGGTATTTCTTTGGATTACTCCCTTGGAAGAGTGTTTGGGAGATTTCCTGAATTTCCCTCTGGAGTGGAGAGCTCTAATCTTTGCCAACCTCTGTAAAAATGTGAAAGATTGCTTGTTAACACTTGAAGTCCAATGTTGGGGAAAATGGAAGCAGGGAATATCCCGAGAACGTACAGGCTTTTGGGGGTGCCTGACATGCCCTAAACCTAATCTTGATCTACACCAATTTTGCAGATGGTGGAGAACAATTGCCTCCCTTTGGTTTAAAAGAGAGCAGGCATAAAAGAAAATGGGTCTGGGGAAGAGAAACAAATGAAATGCTATTCTCTCTTCCACCTTGCTGGGTTTGTATTTGCAGATCTGCCAGAGAATCTACTGTCAGAGCCGTCTGAGAGCACTTCCCATCAGGCTCTGGTTCTAAACACGTGAATAAATATGTACAGGCTTGGACTGTAGAACTGCAGGTATTTCCTTATACTAATAAATGAAAAATATAAGTTTTTACAGTATATACGTGGCTATGGGATAGTTCCAATATGCGCTCTTTTATATGCCTTGGCATTTCTTTTTCACAAGACAATATGAATAATGTAACTATTTAGATTTGCTGTTGAAATATCAGGGTTGCCTCATGTGATCACTTCAGGATCAGAATAGAGGTATGTGGGGTCAAGCTTGGGCAAGAGCAGAGCATTCAAGTTGATTCAAGTCTTGGGTGTGGATGTGCACACGTATGTGTATGCCTGTGTGTGTCTACAAAGACATATACAAAGAAAGGAGTGTTCCTGCAAGCAAAGAATGCTATCACTTTCAATATGAATGAAGCAGCTAAACATTAAACTGGCATTGGATAAACCTGACTTATTACAGTGCAAAGGCCCTTTTTGATTGCATGGATTTTTTTTTTTAAGCAGCTCGGGGGGGGGGGGGGAAGAATAGCTCTAGGAAAAAAAGCAGGCAAACTTAAACATCTTGCCTGCTAATGATAAGCTTTTGTATGTAGCAAAAGTGCTGCAGAAGATTCCCCACTACATGCTGGACACAGACTGTACTGAGTTTCGTACAAAACTAGCAGAGGATTTAGAAGCATGCAGGCTTCAAAGCACATGGCTTTGCTGGCTTATGACTAACGGTATTTCCAGCCAGTTCTGGATGCACTGATGGGCCACAGAGAAAACGTACTGCATAGATTGATTTGGTTGTTTTGCTTCAATCCAACCTTTGCTTAGAGCAGAATTCTGGTCGTCCTCATGCTCTGAAATCATAGACAACATCATGTATAAAATATAGCAATATAAAAATATAATACTTCATTCAATACTACAGCTTCTTTCCCAATGCATTGTCAAATTAGTGAGGGAGTTTGGTGTTCCCTTTGTCAACATTGCTGAAGGAACAGTCGGTCGGAATGGCAATGTACATTGATAGTCCCAACGGTCTCACTTGAAGAGGTACTCCGTTCTATTTTTTCCTCTTTTCCCTTTTTCGTGCAAGTAAATATATATGACTAGAGGTGAAATAAACCAAAATAACTTAAATAGAAGAATCAATCCTCTCTTGGCGTTGCTTCATGATTTGCTCAAGTTCTGACGACTCTCTATTTTTCTGTAAGAAAAAAAAAGATAATGAATTTTATTTAAAAAAAATTACATAAGACAAATCACTTTAGTAATTTAGCATTTTCAAGAGTGAGTTCACCACTATGGTTTCTTCTCTCAGATTTCTCAGAAGCAATTTGAGATGACTGCAATTTTCTTCTCTTGTGAGCAAGAGACTCTCCCAATTTTAAACAAAGAATTATGGTCATGCTCTGATTTGACAGAGACTCAAAGCTATGTCCTGAGCTGCTGCAGTTCCTGTAGAAACTAAAATCTTACTCCTGTTCCTGCAAAAATGAAATCAATGTTGCACCCAACCACTGCAAAACCTTGATTCAAGGTGAATATTTGTCTAAAAGTATACACACACATAATATCCTGGTGGATCCTATGAAGGAGAACTAAGAAAGATGCAAGCCATATTATTACTTAAAAGTTAGACCTGCAGTTTTACTACAGAAATTTTTTTTTTTATTGATTTGACAATCCATGACAAAAGCACATGAACTATAAGAACTGCATATATAGAAAAGTCAATGATTGAGATTCAAAATAAACATAAAATGCAAATAAATTATCAGGATCACTAGACAACTAAATATCTAGCAGAAATAACTATTGCAACAATTTAGCAGCCCATCCGTAGAAATGTTGTAATCTGTCAGTTAAGATGAGGAAAATAATTTTCCCCCTTTGATTAGCATGGTTGTAATTAAGAGAGGTGCTATTAATTCAGCACTATGACATATAAAAGGGCATTGCCAGGGGATATATAAATTTGTTTCCTCTAATGAACTTGGACAAAGTTGTTTTTGCAGAGAAATCTGTAGTCTTTTTCCTAACAAGTGGCAATCTTAGGCAAAGGTAAGGGATCTTTTGTGGGCCAGGCAAAGAATGCTTGCTAATCTTTTTAGTGTAAGAGAGCACAAGCCTGCAAAATACATTGTTGGAAGATGATTTAATCCTGTAAAATGACACTGCTGAGGAGCCGCTGTTTCAATTCCAACCAAGTTCTCTGAGCCAAACAAAATAAAGACCTGATAGGCCAGAACCTTTCACAACAATTCCAGTCTTTTGTGTGAACATGCGGTTATCCTGCAAAATCAGAGAAACGGGGGTGCTATCAAAGAAGCGTAAATTGGTCCAATATTTCAACCAGTGGTTTCATTTGGTCTCCAAAGAAATTAGCTCAAATTCTAGTCTTAGCATGAGGTAAGATAAAACAATGAGTTACTTGAAGCAAAGCCCTTAGAAATTTGGATTTGATTATCTTCATGGAGCTGGTACAAAAGAGTAACATCCATGCATCATACAGTAGATGATTAATGAACTTTGCTCTGAAACTTTTAATGGCACTACACATACTTATTATCTTTATATTAAGTGTGCTGCAGCTGCCAAAAAAGCCAACACAGTGCTAGGCTGCATTAACAGAGGGATAGAATCAAGATCACGTGGAGTGTTAATACCACTTTACAATGCCTTGGTAAGGCCACACTTGGAATACTGCATCCAGTTTTGATCACCACAATGTAAAAAAGATGTTGAGACTCTAGAAAGAGTGCAGAGAAGAGCAACAAAGATGATTAGGGGACTGGAGGCTAAAACATATAAAGAATGGTTGTTAGAATTGGGTATGTTTAGTTTAATGAAGAGAAGGACGAGGGGGGACATTATAGCAGTGTTCCAGTATCTCATGGGCTGCCACAAAGAAGAGAGAGTCAAGCTATTTTCCAAAGCACCTGAAGGCAGGACAAGAAGCAACGGATGGAAACTAACCAAAAAGAGAAGCAACTTGGAACTAAGGAGAAATTTCCTGACAGTTAGAACAATTAATGAGTGGAGCAACCTGCCTCCAAAAGCTGTGAATGCTCCAACACTGGAAGTTTTTAAGAGACTGGACAGTCAGAATAAAATATAGGGATTATTGTTACATTACTTTTATTAGCCCTATAAAAATGCATTTCATTTAGAAGATATAGTCAGTTCTTAAAGGTTACAAATTAATTTCTGCTCTGGCTGAAAGTACATGAACAATAAACTACCTCAATGGTCCTCAACTATTTCTCCACCACAGATCCCTTTTAAAGTCCTTTTGTGGCCACACACCATGGCCACGGGACCTCCAAAAATTCAATATTTAAATCATAACGTTTCTTCAAACCTTTGCAGATCCCCTTTGACGACATCATGGACCCCCAGAGGTCCATGGACCACAGGTTGAGAGCCACTGAACTAACTTATTAGCACAGCAATGAAATCTATTAGTCCATCTGTAACACTTTAAAGCAGCATTTTTCCCCAGGATCTTGAGATTTCCCTCACAGTATTAACAGTCTTAAAAGATTAGGACTACACTATAATGTTACTACCCATCCTTTAAATTATGGATGTGATCATCAAAGGGTTGCTATTTTAGAAACCTTACCTCTAGATAAGACTTTCGCACTGTGATTTTGCTAAATACCCGGGCACCTTCTTCTCCGCATACTTTTTTCAATTCTTCTTTGTTCAAGGAGAAAAGCTGTGCTCCTGTCAGTATGCCAAGATGCTCCACGGTTCTAAAAAAATGTTAAGGAAAAAGCACTATTTAAAGAGGTACAAGGCCTTAGAGTTAGACATTTGACACTTTTCATCATAGGCCAATAGTTTCTGAGGGAGGAAGGTATCCTAAATTTACAGAAGATTGCAATTAGTTCTGTATCCTTGACATCTGCTTCAAAGGTTTCTAAAAAGATGCCATGATCTCTTCACTGAGAAAGGTCTGCATTCAGTCTTCATGAAATATAAGAAATTTGAAAAGTGGACCAGTTTCTTAAAACTGAACTGGAACTAGAACTATAAACTAAACTAAACACTAAACACTAAACAACACTAAACCTAAACTACAGTAATACATTTTTTAAACCTCTTTCAGAACTGGTTGTTTTTGCCCTTTCCTCCTGTGCCATTTTGCGCAGGTATAAAAGATCCTTTACTGACATACATAAGTAGTGGACAAACTACTCAAAAGACCTAATCATCACTGTCATAGTTATGTAAACTTTAATCTAGGAGTAGTTATGAGGATAACAGAACAGCCGTCTGATACGCAAAGGCAGTTCCTGTCATTCTCCTTTTTAGCCAGGATACAACTAAGCACAATAAAACTATCCCTCAGTGATCTGCAGATAGTTTTTACATTATGATTCACTGGAAATCCTGCACTAATCAGTATAACATCCAAATGTTTCATTGTAAGTAGGGATTATTTTGGCTATTCTAAATTGAAAGTATATTTATACAATGCCCTTTACAGAAGAATGAAACTGAAGAAGATGGTAATACATGTGCCCAGCAGCAGTAACACACTTTATTTATTTATTTTTTAAAAACACATACATTGATTTGCATCTCCAGATGTCTCTCTACAATTATTCCTTAACATCTTTCTCAGGAGGGTAATCTTTAAGCACTGATTATATGTGCTAGTCCCCTGAGGGTAAGCAATATTATGCAGAGCACAGGAAAGGAGTTAAGAACTAGCAAGCACCTCAGAAAAAGCAAAGGAAATACAACTCAAGTTACACAAACACCCTTCATCATACCTCTCTTTATCATTCGGTCCCTACAATCCTACTACATTCGGTCCCTACAATCCTACTATCATTCGGTCCCTACAATCCTACTACTTTATCCTACACTGCTTTTCATTTATTTAAATAAAATCAGGACCACATCAACTTTCTCAGCCTTCCTCTTCCTCGCAATCCAATTACTCTTCCTTCATATATTGGCTTCGTAATTTGATCCTAGATCATACTATCTATATAGGCTCAAATCACCTCAATGTACTTTCTTCATACTGGTCATCTAACTTAGTGTTCCATCCACAATCATTGAACTCCATATAATCTTGAGCCCATCACTTGTTTTATCACACACATTCCATCTCACCACATTCAGCTTAACTTTTATATTTCTCCTGACATATCCAAACTTCACTGTCAAATAAAAAAGCAAGCAGAAACACACACGTATGCACTGTTTCCTGCTATCCCAATCACTTCACATTATCTGAAACAAAAATGAATCTGTTGCCCTATAGATGCATTAGACTTACTTCCATTATCCTTAGCCTACAGTTATAGGGAAGGGAAAGGAAAATTGCAAGAAATTAAAAAAGAAAACATCTGGGGAGGCATTGAAAAAGAAGAGCCACTTACCCTTTGCTGAATGAATTTGCTTCCAGCCAGACTCTGACTTCCTCAGCATTGGATTCAAAGGTTAAGGGCACAAGAACGTGCTGGGTCTTCTCTACTCTGAAATTCCTTTGAGGTTGCTGGATTTTTGTATTTGTGATCTTTTTCAGCAATTCATCATTGACCTCGTCCATGTGATGGATTAATTCTAAAAAAAGAAATTGAGGAAAAATTATGCAAGTTCAAAACAGGCATCAGGGCTATCAATCATTTAAAGCATTTTTTGTTACAGGAAGTCTCTTCCTCAATTATTTGATTATATTTAAGTTATATATAAAAGCACATTTAAAGATGTTCATTTCCAGCTACAGGTAGTCTTCGACTTACAGTCATTTATTTAGTGACTATTCAAAGTTACAACGGCACTGAAAAAAAGCGACTTATGACTGTTTGTCACACTTATGACCATTGCAGCATTGCCATGGCCATTTGATCAAACTTCGGTCGCTGGGCAACTTGCATGTATTTATGTCGATTTGACTGTCCCGGGGACATCTGATCTCCTTTTGCGACTTTCTGATCAGCAAAGTCAATGGGGAGCCAGATTCACTTAACTACCATGTTACTGACTTAACAACTGCAGTGATTCACTTAAGAACTGTGGCAAGAAAGGTCATAAAATGGGGGAAAACTCACTCAACAACTGTCTCTCTTAACAGCATGAATTTTGGGCTCGATTGTCGTAAATGGAGAGCACAGCCCAAAATTTTCTTCCCAAAAAAAGTGTGCTCTTAAGTCTCTTCCACGCAACTTGCATTTCCCATGAAAACCTTTAAAGTTAATGGTCAACCACTGAATCTACAAGCATCAAACTGAAATCTTATTTTATACTTACTGTATGTATTTGGGAGTCAGCCTTCAAAGTAATTGGAATATATTTCCAAGTAGACCTACAGTACATTGAATTTTATTCCACGTGCGTTAAATTTGCAAGCCTACTATTGAGAACATTAAAATATGGCAGAGAAATAGATGAACTGTCCTTCCTACTTTGGGAACAAGTAACTACAGTATGAGGATAATTTAAAGCAAAATATAATACCAAGAGGTATTACAAAGCGATGGATTGTCCACCAGTAATGCTATGAGATCATTTCAATGCACATTTGAGACTGAGGTGGCTTCTCGAGATTGCTTCATTATTTATAATAAGAACTCATGATAAACAAGTTACATTTGCCTTCTTTAAACAATTACAAAAGGATCAAACCTTCCAATACATAATTTATCTTTTATAAACATGTGTGATAATGCCTTTTCTTTTAACTTGCGTATTGCAACCCAGCTACGCATTTAAGATTAGTTCTTAGTTCAAAGGTTCTTGGTGCTGATCTTTCAACTGATCTGAGTTGAACGATCAGTAATTTTTGGCCAGTGTAATAATGTACCTTTCCTTTAAAATGTTAAATATATGAGTTCAGACTGCATGGGTACTTACGTTCTTTGGCTTCTGAAGAATTGTGGGCTGCCATTTCACTTCCCCACTTCTCTCCAGCATAGCTAGGAGGTAACTTATGGGAAGGGCTGGAAGATCCAGATGCTCTTGGACTCAGGTCTCGGTATTTCTGATTACCCTACAAAATGCCCAATGTGTAAAAATCAGATTTCTATTATCCTTCATTCCTTATTGCTTGACAAGAAAGTATAACCAGTTAACTGATGTAAATCCTTGATTTATTGTTGTGTCCAATTATAAAATTCCTACCATCGTTCTGAGTTTATTAGAGATAAAGCTGCTTAGGACATCTGCTTTTACTGGCATTTGGCTGAGATTCCAACATGCTGGAATATTATGATGGAGATTAATATCTATGTATATAGGCAGATATCTCTGTGGATAACAGAACAGAGACTTTGATTCTCTACGAAAATGTATCATTAAAGACCACCACAGAAATGAGTACTTCTTTCAGTATAGATAGTCCTCGACATACAACAGTTCCCTTAGTGACCATTCGAAGTTACAACGGCACTGAAAAAAGTGACTTATGTCCATTTTTCACACTTACGACCATTGCAGCATCCCCAGGATCACGTGATTTACATGTGGATGCTTGACAACCGACTCACATTTATGATGGTTGCAATGTCCTGGGGGCCATGTGATCCCCCTTTACAACCATCTGACAAGCGAAGTCAATGGGGAAACCAGATTCACTTAACAACCATGTTACTAATTCAACAACTGCAGTGATTCATTTAACTGTGGCAAGAAAAGTCGTAAAGTGGGGCAAAATATCTCTTAACACATTTCTCACTTGGCAACATACATTTTGAGCTCAGTTGTTGTAAGGTGAGGACTACCTGAAGCAGGATATTTGTATGGTTTGTTTGATTGTATGTGACCCAAAATCATATTTGTGAGATGGGTGGCTCTATAAATAGGATTTATTTATTTATTTACTGAATTAATAGCCTGCATGATTTTTGTGCCCAGGTGGCACCCTAATTCTTTAGGAAAAGTTTTATCCTTTAAAACTACTTTTGTAAAGAATATTCACCAGGAACTGTATCTGATATATTGGCACACAGCTACCTAATGAAATATAACATGGTGCAATTCAAAGAATGCATTTAAATCTTCCCTCAGACATGAAGGGTTAGAACAGGGGTAGGCAACCTTGGCTCTTTTATGACTCGTGGACTTCAACTCTCAGAATTCATAAGCCAGCTGGCTCAGGAATTCTGGGAGTTGAAGTCCACAAGTCATAAAAGAGCCAAGGTTGCCTACCCCTGGGTTAGAAGGTCAGTTTAGGGTCAATGAGTATTTTTGTCTGCCCTAGCTCACATTATTGTTTTGAGGAGAAAGGGAGGGAGGAAGAAACGTATCTATGCCATTCCACTGTTGTTTTAATAAAGAAGGAGAATTGTTAAAGAAAGAGAATTGTGAAGAGGGAGTGTGTGTGTGTGTGTGAGACTAAAATATGATTTCTTTGTTGTTAAGAAAAATTAATAGCCAGAATCACTTAGGGAAGCATATCTACCAAAGTCACCTATGCAATTTTGTGTTTATTTTAAAGAACTACGGTCTCTAATTTAAGAGCTAAATCAGACCTGCATCATTGCTGCAAAATCCTCCTGGGTCATCAGATTTAAGATATTATATGGAACATAACCAGCCTGTCCACTTCGGTTTTTCAGCTTCCACCACTGTTTGTTATCTTCCAACACCTGTGAATAAAAAAAAAACAATTTATCTGCTACGAAAGATTACGTTCTGTGGTTTGTTTAAACATCTCCACTAGAATTTTTACCTTTTACAGGTAGACTTACTTGACTTACAACCATTCATTAGCAACTGTTTGAAGTTACAATGACACCGAAAAAAGTGACTTAGGACTATGCCCTCCCATTTACAACCATTGTAGGATCCCCACAGTCACGTGATCACACTTGGCCATCAGCACGCATTTATGATGTTCGCAGCATCTTGAGTCAGATGATCATCATTTGCAACCTCCCCAGCTGGCTTCTGACCAACAAAATGAATGGGGAAGGCTGCATTTGCTTAACAACCATGTTATTCACTTATCTGCAGTGATTGCACTTGGCAAAAAAGATCACAAAATCAGGCACAGTTCACTTAATACCCGCCTTACTTAGCGATGGAAATTTTGGGGGTAATTCGAGGACTACCTGTATATTCCTTGCACAATTAAACCAAGAAGTCACTCTTTACATTCTTGAGCACACAGTTATTTCTGTTCTGTAAATAGCCTGGCATATTTTTTCCCTTGAGAATATGTCATCGCGTTCAGATAATTTTACAGAAAAACTTTACTAGCAAATAACTGAATTTCCATCCTATCTGCTTTTTAATCTTCTTTCCCCAAAGTCGAGTGCCTCCTGCCCCTTGCCCATTTGGCTTTGAGAATGACTAGTCAACTCGAAAGCTTCCCCATAGGTGCCTTCTCCATCGTATACACCAGTTAGTGCTGCACAGTATTAAAGTGCAACTTTCCTTCTCCTTCCTCCCTGCCTGAAATATCTCATATGGGATATTGGGTGTGGAGGGTTGAAGGATCCATTCAAAGCTTGTGTGATCACGCCCGCCTCCTGCCTCCCTTTTCCAGGCATTTGCAAGGATCTTGGATTCGTTCTTTTACCTCCAGAATTTCATCTTTCAGCACTGACAGTTCAGTTGCATTTCGAGCAGTGAAATCATAAAGAATTTTGGCGTATATCTTTGACTGAGCCATATCTTGGGCCTCAAAATTCCTGCAAGAAAGATATTGTAGGGGAAGAGCCAGGTTAGTCTATTGTGGCAAAAAAAAAAAAAAAAATTTGGCAGCACATTTCTCCATTAACAAATTTCTAGTCGGAATTCAATTCACATTTTAACAAAATTGGCTAGTTGAAAAGGATGACAATGCCTTCTGATTTTATTTATTTTTTGCAAGAAATATATAATGGCATTATCACATTACTAGTCAGGGTAACTCATGGCCTAATTTAAAATACCATACTGAAGTTAAATGACGCACCAATATATTTTTCCAGCTTTCTTTAGCTCATGTGCTTATATAGTTCCTGCAAAAAATTAAACTACACATTATGTCAACAAAATAATTAAAGTCTGCCTGTAAAAGTAACTAAAACAATAACCCTTCGGAACATAGTTTTAATTCATATTACAAAATACTTTTTCTTAAGCAAGCCAGGCCTTGGACAAGACATCGTAAGACAATAACTGCAACCTCAGTTCTGCCAAGAGTTGAAATGAAACTTGGCAGCATACGAATGTGTGAAATATCAAGCTAAGTTAACAAGTAGAAGACAGCAGCTGGATTCCTTGTTCTCCTGCTTGTATTAAATTGGAATAGATAAAAGAGAAAATATTAGCTTTCATGGATTGAGGTTTGAAACCAAGACGGGGAACATCATGTGACCAGGAGAAAAGGTAGTGATCTTTTCCAGAAGTGCCTCCCAACATGAGAAACACAGAGAGGCACAAATAGGAAAAGGAGAATGATATTTAAGTGGGTGTAAAAAGAGTCACTTGAAAGAACGGTGGAGACTAGGAGAATGGTTTCATTGGATCAGTGACATTGAAATCTGTTCAAAAATACTATGAATTACTCTGAATCACTCGTGAACCCTACTGTGAAGGCCACTGGTCATCGTATATTCATTTATACTAACGCTATTAATATTTTTTCTTCATCCGTACAAATGTCATTTTGATATAGTACTAAACATGGATATTTAAGCCAATATAAGGTGTTAAGATCACACATATATTGGGTATTCTGAAGTTACTTTCTTCTTCTTTCTTTCTCTTTCTCTCATTCCCCCCCCTCCCTCCCTCTCCTATTTTTGATATTTTTTCTGGTTTCTTTGTTAGTTTTTAAAACTCTGTAATCCTTTTTGTCTTGTTTCATGTCTTCAGTTAAAAAGATAAAAGAGGGCAATTATTTCAGCCTTCCATAGTTACACAGTGAAACCCCACTAAGGCTGTTGTGTACAATCTGAGGTCCCAGGGTGGCTGCAATCACTCAAAATATTAGCCACAGACTTCATAGAGTCCCAACATGATTACCATTGAATTATTTAATATGACAGAAAAAGAAAACTATTCAATCACATTAAATTAACTTCACTTAAATAAAATACTAAATTAAATTGAGCGTACAGTAGTTTTTGCCCTGGTGTCATCCAATTGCAGGAATGCAGATCCCAGCTTGGCCCTCAACCTAAAGTTGTGTTATTTCTGAAAAGACAGATCCCCACCTCAATAAAGTGAAAAAAAAATTGATGTGACATCAGTCACTCACATTTTTTAATCCCACAAATAAAACAGTGAAAGGAAAATACCTATGTACATGTTGAGTAACATGCTGAGCAAAGGCATCCACTCCTTGCTTTTGGTCTGAAGTCTGGACTGGCTTCAACTGACGATTGGGACCCCCATTGGATGATGACAGCTTCCAAGGAGGAGAGGAGGAGGAGAAAGAGACCAGAATATTATTAATAAGGCAAATGCACACGTCCCAAAGAAAGTTCCTCATTTTTATCCATCAAAATCATAATAAGAAAGGTGGTACTTTCACTAATATCAGTTTCCAGGAGATCATATACACACACATATAAATAAAAGAGTATTTGTAAGAGGGCAAACCTGCCTGGCTGCCAAACTACCATTCCTATTGCATGAATAATCTCATGAAGTGGTATTAAATCATGTCATCAGTTTGCAACTAACTAGAACGGGTCTGCAACCTTAAACACTCAAAGAACCATTTGGACCCGTTTCCCACAGAAAAGAAAACACTGGTAGCCACAAAACCCTGCTGCTTCCCCCCCCCCCCCGCATGGAGCACCCTGCTGCCACTGCTTCCCCCCATCCAACCCCAATGGAGCGCTCCACTGCCATTGCTGCTTCTCCCCCCCCTGCACAGAGCGCCCCATTGCCACTGCTTTCCCCCATCCCCCTGACAGAGCGCTCCATCACCACTGCTGCTTCCCCTCCCCATGGAGCGCCCCACTGCCACTGCTTCCCCCCCACCCCCACACAGTGCCCCACTGCCACTGCTTTTTTTTCTGTGAGAATTTGGAATTGATTAATTGAACTTTTTTTAGTCCCACAAACTTATTTTGTTTGTGGGACTGCACACGGCGACAGAGGACAGGGAGCCGCAGCAGAGGGATGAAAGAGCCGCATGCAGCTCCGGAGCCACGGGTTGCTGACCCCTGAGCTAGAACCTCTGAAGGTTCTAACCATGGATGTAGGCTTCAGTTTTGACTAAAAAGGGGAGAGGAAGAGAGGAGAACTACCTATGGACAGATATCAGACACAAAATGAGGGAGAAAGAGAGAAATAGTTCTGGAGCAACTAAAATCTCATTTCCTCCACCATTCCACACGTTTTAAAAAATCAGTATCTCCCCCTCCCCCCAACTATGTCAAAAGATCTGTCTGTCAAAAATCCCCGAGCAGATTGATTTACATCCTGGTTAGTTCAATGAGGAACAGAGGGGGGGACGACACTGAAATAGCTCTTGTTAATTTCATCCTGGTTTCTTGCTTGGGCTGCTGTGCTCTTGGAATTTGCGTAGGTCTGCAGATTTGAAACAATGCAAATCAATCTTCACTGCCTTTTAAAGTGGTATGAGCAAGGTAACTTGGGATTTGGTCATATACAAAAATATCTAAGTGATTATTATAAAGAAGGCTAGTTATCTTTCCCTTTTATGGGTGGGAGAGTAGAATGCTATGTTAGCTGAAGCCCAGCCATTGGGAGGTGAAATGAGGCAAGGTTTTCACCAGCAGGAAAACAAGATACTCATAACGTTTTGAGAATTTCACTGCTGGAAACAAAAAGGGTTTTTTTTTTCTGGTTTGTTTGGCAAGTCACAAATAAATCAGTTCAGTGATGACATGAGAACACAAAGATGCAGATTGATTCTGGAACAGTGCAAATAAATCACATGAGTGTGCCTAGGCCAGGGGTAGGCAATGCTTAGCTAGATCGCTGCAAGTTAGCTAAGTATCAAAAATGTTCAACATGCTTTGAATGATCAATTCACCTTCCTATTTTTTTTTAAATTAATATGAACCATTCATAGATTTATCTATCTACTTCAACAACAGCATTGTATTTGGCTCACAATTTGAGTAAATAAGTTTAAAAAAGGAAGGAAGGAAGGAAGGAAGGAAGGAAGGAAGGAAGGAAGGAAGGAAGGAAGGAAGGAAGGAAGGAAGGAAGGAAGGAAGGAAGGAAGGAAAGTACCTCTTCTTGCAGATGGCCAATATCAATTTCCCATGGAGCCCCATGAAAGATTTCCAGGGGTGGCTCCCATCCGTTGCGAAACTTTGGAACATATCTTGGGATGTTGGCATCTCTTGGCCATTCGGCTCTTGGAACACATATTAAAAATAAGCTTATTTTATAGGGAGCAAGAACATACGATGCCCTTTCCCATTTTAGACTATGATTATTATGTCTCAAAGCTGAGCATATTTTTGGAAAATCAGCATTCTGATTGCTTAGCTCACATACAAATGCTGTCAATGAGCTTACAAAGCTAGACACAAAACAATCATTGTTCATACTGGTAGCATCCTATTTTCTGACTGTAGTCCACAAGTGCTTTTGGGGTCTCTATGGTTTTAAATTCATGAAGAGAGAAACTAGTGGGGAAGAAATGCTAATGTGTGCTCCATTGCTAAAACTATGGGCCTCACTTTCTAAATCGGGGAAATCTTTTCTTCAGACCACATTATTCTTGTTCAGATGGCATTTTAGGGAATTTTGCCTTTCACCAACTTCAGCCAAGGAAGACATGAGACTTCCTGTGAGCACCATGATGAGCTGATGTCCTGCTAGTAACAGGATCACATTTGCAAGGAGAATCATGGCTAAATGCAGGATTTAGGAGGAAGGGGAGATTGTTGAGATTATCTGCATGACTCTGATCAACCACTCCTTGTGAGTATACCATGGAAACCACTGTTTTGCAGTTGGCTTATGAGTTGAATACTTAGGAATCAGGGTTCCATCAAACTCACCCTCGCAACAGAGCTTTCTATGGACATTAAGCTTAACTGAGCCTCATTTCCTAATCACTTTTTGGATATATTATTTTTGTACTGTACTGGAGAGATTAAGACTCTTTGGATCAGCAAGATTTAGCTCTATTCATCGGATGACTTCACTTCTCTTGAGAGAAAAATAATTTAAATTTGATTTTAAAAGTCTTTGAAATATTGTTTTGGTTTTGTTATATGCCACCCAAAGTTACTTGTGAGATGGGTGGCCATACAAATTACCTAAATAAAAATAAATATATAAACATTTTTTTCCGATTATGCATTAAAAGGATATTTCAAATATGGATTTTGGAAAGTTAACAATGGATTAAGGGTCCACAGAAATTTTGGAATATTTCTCTGCCAAACGTTTTGATAAAATAGGTAAAATTGATGAGATGGACACAGGATGTTATAATGATGCTAGAGAACAAGAACAAGTTGCAACAGATAAATTTGAAATTATTTTGAAGGGGGACTTAATTATGATAAGAACCAAGAAGAATATAGAGAAAGATATGGAGATACAAATGGAACTGATGGATGATATATTTTCTAAAGGATATATACAACGTTTGAACCAGGAAATGGACTTCAATAACTTTTTCTTATTAGACATACAAAAAAACTCTATTAAGGTCTTGTAGGATTCTATTGGAGGGGACAAACACAAAAGGACAAATATTATTTATTGGATATATAAAAGAAATCTGCTAAAGTTCTGAAAGAATTGTAGTTCCAACAAAAATAGAAAACTAGCTCTGGGACTCTTTTTGAAGGGACTAAAAATGAGATTCTTAAAAACTTAGGGAAAGTTTACAAAACTAGCTTATTCACCCAGAACTAAAAGAAAAAAAAATGTTTTGTCTGGTTTCCCTTACTGGACTTTTGCTGGCAAATAACAATCCAGGAGGTATTTGGATTTTGGTTTTTATTTACCAGATGAGCTACAGAATGAAGAGAAATTATGTATTTAGAGATGGAGATAAACTATTTTAAAATTGTTTTCAATTGGTGGGATGATGGTGAAAGTTAATCCCTTTTTTCTTTTTTCCCATTTTTTTGTGTTTGTATTTTACTGCTTGTATTTTTAATAGTTTGTATTTGCTTTTGAGTTTATTCTTTCAATCATAAAATTGGTCTGGAAGAATCCTTCTCTGGGTTCCTCTTTTGCTTGGCTTTATTTACATACCTTGACCTTGTCCAAGTCTCTCCTAAGGATTCCCACAATGCCATTTCCTTTGGTGTTAGATGGCCTTTCAGGAAATCTGTGGTATCCTTTGAAAGAAGTGGACTGATGACAGACCTTGCAAATTCAGGGCCTCCACAGGTGTTAACAATCTGCATTACAGACAAGAAATCACAAATGAGAATTTCCAATAATCTTACAATATGGTTAACGCGTGTTTGGAAGATCAATTTTTAGGCCTTTACAGGTAGTTCTTGACTTAAGACCATAATTCAGCCCAACATTTCCGTTACTAAGCAAGACAATTGTTAAATGAATTTGGCCCCATTTTATGATCACAGTTGTTAAGTGAATCCCTACGGTTGTTAAGTGAATCTGGATTCCCCATTGACTTTGCTTGGCAAAAGGTGATCACATGACCCCGGGACAATGCAACTGTCATAAATATGAGTCAGTTGCCAAGCATTTGGATTTTCATCACGTGACCATGATGGGGATGCTGCAACAGTTGTGTGAAAAATGGTCATAAGTCACTTTTTTTTCAATGTTGCAACTTTGAACAGTCAATAAATGAACTGTTGTAAGTCAAGGACTACCTGTACTGTATAGGTGTCAAGATTTTGTATCTACCCCAGACTACCATTAAAGATACCTTCCTATTACAGGACTTGACAACTACATGTTTTGTTATTTTTTTTCCATCATTGCCGTTAATAATGAATGACTATAACTGGATTGTGATTCCCCCAAAAGTTTTGCAACAATTCATGTTATACTTTAAGGTATTGTTAAGAGTCCTACTTTTGCTGGAAAAAAACTAATTCAGCTACTTTTTGGAAATTGTAAAAATCTCCACATCTATCACAAATTTATTTTTCTTTTAAGAAAGAACATTTTGTTTTTTCTGCTTTTTTTGGGGGGTGTTATGTAAAATAGTCATGTGCTTGTCCAGAGTAAGAAATTCATGAGTTGACTCATTAGATATGATAGCTTTGCTATTTCCATACTCAGATATTTTGGGGAAACTGAAATAAATCCTCTCTGTTTGCCATGAGCTTTTCAACCTCCCAGGTTACTCCTTGGAATATTGTAAATCAGTCCCTAATCTGGAATAGATGAATATTTAAACAGGCTAGAAAAATGTAATATGCGTCAAAAACCTGCCTATTGCTGGTTTTAGTTATACTTCTCAAACCTACTTCCAGAAATTGCATGCAACATGGCCAGTTAGAATTCAGGGAATCAGAGGTCAACATATCTGGTTGCCATTAGATAAGAAACTCTGGATTAAAATTTATTGAATAAGGGAGAAGGTAATTTATACCAGTTCCAGTGGTCCAAACAGGAAATGGACTAATTCTGAAGCACTTGGATTCTGAATATGGTTTTTCAGTTTGGCCTGAGAAGAGAAGAAAAACAAGTTAAATCTAAATCTATTTTATAACTGTTCAAAAATAAAATGCAAACAGCAAAAATGTTTAGCAACCTCAAGAAATGCCCAAGAAAATATCCGGCATATTTCAATATCCAGATGCTGTAAACTAATTCTCTCTAAAGTAACATAAATCATGTATCCAGGTTCTTCTACAAAGTCAAATTAGGTACTGCATTATGACTGTACCTTATTCCCATGATCAGGTGGGCAGTTGGCTCTTGGCATTAGATCAATTATTGCAGGAATTACTAAGGGCTAGATTAAGTTGATCCCACTTAATCCAGAAGAGTTCTTTTGAGGTTTTTAAGGAACATACAATTGTATCGTTAGTCAAACATTATGTTTTATTAGCAGAGCTTGTTTAAATTATATGATGCAACTGCATTAACTGCAGTCTGCTGGGCAGGCCAAGCTTGAATCTTCTGCAGTGTAGCACCTGAAAGAGGCTAAACTATAAAGGAAACCCCAGGAAAGGGATTTATAAGAATGGTAAATGTGGCTATTGATATGAAAGAAAAACATATCCATTCTTTTTAGTGGTAAGGATTTGCTACCTTATTGCTATTTTCACAACAAGGCTCAAACAATAGCTTGGCAACTGCTTGTAGCCTTGACACTTCTCCCATCCTGCAAGAATCAGCATAACAGTATTGCACAGTGTCACTTTTCGCGAGATGGGTGATCATATACATTTAATTAATAGATAAACAAATATAGTAAAACCATTCATCCATTTGTCTATCTACTCATCTACTTGTGGGTTATTTCCTCCATGAGGGCAAGACGTCTTACAAAGCACTCCTCCACCCATCTTCTTTTCCCACATAACATCCTTGTGAGGTAGGGCTTGTTAAGAAAGAAGGGATTTCTAGGACTGAAGGTAAATTTAAGCCTGCCTTGCCAAGTTCCATACCAATGCCTGACCCGTCATATCACACTACCTCTTATATGACGCACTTGTTAAGGCTGCCTCAAGATTTGCACAGGTACTGAACTAGCCTATTAACCATGTTCTGCCAGTTTGCCCAAAAGATAATGACGTTGCACACGATGCCCGTGAAGATATGGTTATTCGGTTTTCTACAGCTTTCACCTCTCTGAGTACATTTTTAGACAAATGCTGCAGAGGGGAAACCTCTTTTCCCTCTCAAATACAACAAGGACACACTGTCAGAAAAGTCTTGGAAAGGGCTGATGCATTTTTTTCTTCTGTATTACAGTCCAATGTATCTGCTAAACAGCATAGTTAAGTATTTCAACAACGAACATGCAGCATAAACAGTTTTCAAACCAATAAATAGAACTCTCATTGTCAATAGTTAGCACTTGGCTGGGAATGATGTGAATTGTAATCCAACACATCTAAGAGCTCAGGGTTTGGCAAGGCTGCGGTAGGGACACACTGAGAACAATCAGTTTGAGGATCACCATTTTGGACTTGAGCTATCTATCCAGAACAAACTAGATCTTGCAAATAGCCCAGGGTTTTTTTTATAAAGGTTTTAGGGTTCACATTTAAGAATTTGACTGCATGATTGGTGGGAGAAAGTTTAAAATTTTCTCTACAAGCAATTGTTATATTCAGAATTTCTGCTTCTCGCTTTTCGTGGACAAGTAGAAGTAGAAATTAGACTTCATTATATGACATGATATGTAACATGTATACAAGTTAATCCAATTTCCAGTGCAAAAGAGTATTTGTCCTACATGCTGATATTCTGTGAATGGGTATTTTGGATCTTCTTGTAATACTACTCTTGACAGTCACTGTCTCCAGCTCTCATTTTCCAGTAGTAAGTGTACGTATAGTGTCTCTTTGAGGATAATACTCAATGCATCTTATGAAATGGATGACATAAAAACTAATGCTTGCATTTGTTACTTTTTAAAGTGTCAGCTGCAATACATCACCATATGCTTTTTTTTTGTTTGCAACTTTGTAAAATTGTTTACTACCTACTCAGATTCTGAGCTCTTTGGCTATACAAACATAATATTTGGTTGATTCCCAATAACAGCATGAGGCAAGCAAATAAGCCATTACCTATCCAATTGATACTTGAGAAAATTATACCCAATACCCTTTGCTTCTTACCAGGAGATTTAGTGCCAGCTTGATTTTCTGAAAGCAGTCAAGAAACTCAGTTTCATGTGGAGGTTTGGAGCGCAGAGTCAGAACTCCCTCTTTAGACCAAAAGACAATAAATTTTTTTTAAAAAATGTCACCTCTATGCATAAAGAAACATTAATAGGGAAACAGCTCTTTGTGACACGCTGACCATAAAATCTACATTCCTTGAGGGCACATTTGTGTTTGAAATACCAATCTCACCCAACTGGATGCCCTTCAGTGCAATGGGCTGTAACTTCCATCATTCCATAGCCAGCACAGCCAGTGGGGATGGCCAGAAGACATGTTATCTGCTAACGGCAGGATCTGAAGTCGTATATGTTTAGAGTCTCCATATGAGAAAAGATTGATGCAGTCTACAAAGAAACAGCCACCTAACCCAGGGGTAGGCAAGCCTGGCTCTTTTATGACTTGTGGACTTCAACTCCCAGAATTCCCGAGCCAGCCATGCTGGCTCAGGAATTCTGGGAGTTGAAGTCCACGAGTCATAAAAGAGCCAAGCTTGCCTACCCCTGACCTAACCCTATCAAGCATAGTTAAAAGCTACCTCTATAAACACTGGTGGTCAAAATGCCACTATATTTTTCCTTCATGTTCCAGGCCGATCAGAAACAGAGCTATGTGGGTTGGGGGTTGCTTGGTTCTCAAAGGCCTTATAGACAAAACTAAATATTGTCCCAGTCCCTTGGGGAACACTGAGAGATGGATTGTTCTCATTGGAGACATTGGAGGTCTTTAACGATGCCTTTTATTACATCTCTATGTGCTTTGGTTATTGTTTCCTAATTAAAAGGTCATCACTGTTTATTCTACAGGAAGAAATGAATCATTGCACTTGGACCCAAGGTCACAATGGTGGGGGGATAAAATAGGCCCATCCTGACCTCAAATGGCCAGTGTTCCTACCTTCTGCCTCAAAACCTAAAATGACAAGACTAAGAAAGAGCTAGAAGTGAAAAAGAGGAGCCTTATTTATCTTGGTCCAGTGGCTTTATTTTTGAACAGGAGGAGAGAAATGGAGCAAGGAAAGAGGTGAGTGGGTTTCAGAACTAGCTTGGAAGTCAGTATTTGAACTGGATCCTTCAAGACTGATGGGATAGGGTATATATGAAAGCAGGCATCCCTTATCAGTACTAGCTTAATAATAATAAACTACATCATGTGGTGCAATGGAGTCATCATTAAAAAACAAATGTGGCTCTTGAAAGAGTCCTTGACCTGATGTTTGCTGCTTCTTTCACTTCCTTGATGTGCATGTAATGATTAAACAAAGTAAACATGAAATCTTATTTTCTATTCAGCTGAAAATTTCAGAAAAAAACTTATACTTGCGTTTATTTTGATTAAAAGTTGCTAGGGCCACCAAGGCAAAACAGAATTATTGAGGAGTGGCTGGGTGCTTCTAACCCCTGGACCGTGTTCCTATTTGCTTATAAATTATTTGTAAAATAATTTATTGTCCAATTCTACAAAGGCCTCAAGAAAATTGACAAGGAATAAGAAAGCCACAAAGCCAATAAAAATGACATCTACTCTAGTATTGACCCATCTGTTATGGGTCCTCTCTCTTAAGGAGATGCATCCAATGGGGCCAAGAAGAAAATCTTCTCAGTGGTGGCTCCCTCCTTGTGAAACATCATCCCTACAGAGATACATTTGGCCCCCACTTTGACATTTTTTTGCAAGGGGCCCTGAAGACATGTTCTACTAGCAGGCTTGGGGACCCAAAAGTGATTTGGAGTGGCTGATCTGATTGTTGTCGCTAGGGGAATAAGTTTTGGGTTGGGGTTTTGTACTGAGGTTTTATCTTTGTAAGCCACCCAGAGTCACCATGAGAGAGTTGGGCAGTCATATAACTTTTTAAACAAACAAATAAATAAAGGCAGCCCTTATACCATTATCACCCCTAAGCAGAACAAAAACAGGTTGAAGCCGTTCTGGAAATTGAGGGAAAAAACTGCACAGGGTGGGCTAAGTCAAAGTAGAAAGGCTGCCCCATAGGCCACTATCCCTTTATCTCACGTACATTTTTCCCAACCTTTGTCCTCCCATTTTGGACATAAACTATGGATGCTTTCTTATCCCTTTTGAAGGAGAAAATCCCCTGAATCTAACACTGCACCCTCTAAAGAGTGTTTTATTCAGTTTCTCCTACAGCCAATGATTTAAGCTGTTGATACCTGCTGGCCCTTTCTTCTTGTTCTTCTTTCCCTTCTTCCTTTGGTTCAGTTGCCTGAATGCTTCTGCTGCTTTCTGAAGCTTCGCAACGAAAAACTCAATATCATCGAGGGTGCAATTCAGTATTTGCTGCAAACACATAAATGAGAGAACTTAAAGCAAAACAAACAGCCAGAAGCAATCCACGTTCACATGAACTTACTCTGCATCTCCCTGATTAAGAGTCAAAATGTTCATTGCAGCTTTAATCATGAGCATTCAGTGTGATCAACAAGTACATTTTGTTTTAAATAATCACCACTAGGAAATTGGGGTCGCCTCCAGGCAAGGTGCAGATAAATACTTGGACAAATGCATCTTTCCCTGATGTGTTCTTATTTGCATTTCAAAAAAAAACATTTTCTTTGGTAACACATGGACAATCAACAATTGTTAATAATAATAATAATAATAATAATAATAATAATAATAATAATAATAATAATAATATAACAACAACAACAATAGTAAAGTTGGAAGGGACCTTGGAGGTCATCTAGTCCAACCCTCTGCTCAGGCAGGAAACCCTATACCATTTCGGACAAATGGCTGTCCAGTCTCTTCTTAAAAACTTCCAGTGTTGGCGCATTCACCGCTTCTGGAGGCAGGTTGTTCCACTGGTTAATTGTTCTAACCGTCAGGAAGTTTCTTGTTATCAAAATGGATTTTATCATCAAGTGGTTACTTCATCTTCTCCCATATTTTTTTTAAAATTACTATCACTAACCGTTTCTTTTTCAATCTTCTGTGCTAAAACTGCACGAGACTCCAGTATTAGAACTCTCGATGATGAAGCAGCTAGTATAAGACGGTTTTTTATGTTTTTTGTTCATAACAGTTACCTTTCTTCAGTTTTGTCCTCACCTTAATTTAATAAACAAATTTTTGTAAGGGACATAGTTCAATAGGATAAAGAAACTATACTTATAATACTTATGCCTATAATACCTTAACACAGTTTCCTTTACCGAACTAAAAGTATTTATTAAAAACTCAGAAGGTGGAAACATCCCACATTAATTTATTTTGCTGCTCTGGATGTAACAATCATGCATCTAAGAAAATTGGCAGAGCTTCATCAATTTGCCTAACTCCACATTCTGTTTTACAGAAAGAGCTGTGTGGGCCTCATTGCCAAGGATTTGTCAGATAAGAGCTGCAATGAAATTGTTCTTGAGCACAACCCCCATAAGCCTTTAAAATGTGTCCTTTTTTAGCCATCTCTGCAGCAAAACTGAGTTTGACTTGTTTTCAAACAGCCTTTTTGGGAAGAAAAGAATCAGAGTGCCAAGTTTTGAAAGTAAATACACTGTAGTACTAGATAATAATAATAATAATAATAATAATAATAATAATAATAATAATAATAATAATAATAATAATAATAATAATAATAATGATAAAGTTGGAAGGGACCTTGGAGGTCATCTAGTCCAACCCCCTGCTCAGGCAGGAAACCCTATACCATTTCGGACAAATGACTGTCCAGTCTCTTCTTAAAAACCTGCTTCTGGAGGCAGGTTGTTCCACTGGTTAATTGTTCTAACTGTCAGGAAGTTTCTCCTTAGTTCTAGGTTGCTTCTCTCTTTGGTTAGTTTCTACCCGTTGCTACTGCATATCTAACACAGTCCAGAATCCAGGTGTTCTCATCTGATAAGTTCATCTGACATTACAAAATGTCTCTCTACGAACCTTATGTTTTAAATCATCTTGCAATATACAGATATACATTGAAGTGGGAAGCTGGCTGATAGTCAGGTTCAACTTTTGGGATACATGAATGATTAATTGTAATGCAAATGCATAACTTGCTTCAAAAGGCATACACAAAGGACATCTCCCTTTATGGACATTATTTCTCTTTTGCAAAACTAAATTTTAAAATAGGATTCTAGTTCTCAGGATCAAAGTATAGCTCTGTTAAAAAGTCCCAACAAAACAATCCAACAGAGTTTAAAGCATCTTAAACCTTCAATTAAACACGTTTTTCAGTGTCAAACTGACACGACGGCTGGGGATGATGGTTTATAGTTCCTTGTGCTTGAGGGCATCAAGGCAGGAAAAGCTGCCATATACAATAAAAGTTCCCTTCAGAGAAAAACTCAAGCTTTGTAATTTTTTCCTCTCGGAAAAAAATCGGCAGATGAAGCTTTCCTCTGCGTTCTATCACCCGATTGGCTAAAATTTTATCTCTTAGTGTGCTATCCATCATGCAATTATAAAGTTGCATCAAGCTCCTATTAATTAAAAAAGGGCAGTGGCTCTGTTCTGGTCCTTCTGGTTTCTTCAGCAGGAAATCTGCATGTCCACCCACTTTGCATAAATTGCTGTAAAGTAGCAGACAGGTTAACATCCTTTATTTCTTCTTGCAATGCTTGTGCTCTTGATGGAGCTACAGCACCCTTTTTCGTTTAGCTTTGGGCGTGTGAATTAGCTGCTAATTCCCATGCCAAAAATCTCTGCTGTTCTTTGAAAAACCCAACATATGCAGGGAGGGGTTCTTTTTGCTGTAATCAGTCCCATCATCCACCGCCTCCTACTCACTGGGGCAAATACATTCATGTGCTGTTCCCCAGGAGGAGGCGATGGATTAGAGGAGAAAATGAAACTAGGACTTTGTGATTGCTAGAGGAACTAATGACCAGAAAGGGTGAGTCCCTAGACGAACACCTGAAAATGTTAGAAAATTAGTTATCAGTTAATCAGTAGCTAGTGCCAGCTGGAAGTGTACACAAGGTTTGTGAGATGGAAAACAGACTATGTATCGAGTGGGTAGCTCTACATTCAGCAATAGATTTCTGGTTGATTTGTAGCAGACTGGCAAGAATCTCTAACGCCCTAATTGTTTAACAGCAACAGCACCACAGACTCCTACCTCACCTCTGTTCTGATCAGCAAGAATCAAATCAATTCTGAGGGCCTATCTATTTTTGTACATATGCAGTTTTTTTGCATGAGGTTCCAGTAAAGCCCAAGGGTTCTATTAAAAACAGAAATGTTGCAAAGTTGAAGCCTGCCTTCCCCATCTATTGACGCACAAACCACCTGCCGTCATCTTTTAAAATCTGTTATTCTTTGGGACTGCTGTTCCCAGAACTAAAGAGGTTCTGAAGAGGTTGAAGGAGGAGGCTCCAGTACAGTGAAGATATCTAGGTGTAATTCAGGCTGTTCAAAGGCCAAGGGGAAGGGGATTTAAGCATGCCATGCTTTAATTATCATATGGAAATATTCATGAATGCCTTGTTTCCTTGAGTCTTTAAGACATGCCTTGATTTTCCATTGGCCGTGTTAGTGTGGCAATGAGAGGCTCCTGCAAATGCTGCCAGAACTGGCCCTCAGGTCCAGGTGCTTGGCTTGGTGCTCAGTCTGAAGTGCTCAGGGATGTGGTGGAATGTAGTCTGGATTCCCAGGAGGGAGGGGCTGCATTCTAGAGGGCAAAGAGGCAGCAAAGCATGGAAAGTTTGCTTGGGAGAAAAAAGGGTTAAGAAGGCTCCTCCCTAGCAATTCTCAAAGAGATGCCAAGAATCAATAAACTGATTTATTTTGGCAAGATTTTTTTCCGTAGCTGAGGAGCAATAAAGGAAACCACTCAGAAATAATTCCACTTTGAATTTTTTGGTTCTTGGGGCCTGATAGAGCAGTGACTATTCCTGTTACCTGGCTGGGAAGGAGGGACCACACGATTCTGGTTGTTCTTTTGGGAGCCTCTGCTTTCATCCTGGAAAGGGATGGGTGCAGGCCCTTGAGGTGGGGGAAGGATGGATTGCCTCTGCTTGATCTTCTCTTGGTTCACTCTGCAGAAGGAAAATAGGAATGGTTTTGATAACTAAAAGATGTACTATTCACTCTAATAGCAGGCAGAGAGCAAATGAATTTGAACCTGTGTTTATTAATTTGGATTTTATTGGATTTAAGAGCAATGTTTAATTATAGAGGGGAGGAGTACAAAACATTTCATATTATAGACCTCAATTATGGATGATCTAACAGTGCAAAGCCTTTCACTGACATCCACTGTACAGATTAAGCTGATCTGCATATGTTGATCATTGTAGAAATCCTACTAAATTCGGCTAGATTTAATGCTAAATAAACAAGTGTGCATAAAATCACCATTCTACTTTGCTTCTCTCAGCAAGCAAGGAGTCAGTAGAGGTATCAGGCCAAGCCCACAACTGGCTGTTGAACATTTTCTTCAGATACTTCTCTGGTTTCTAAAGTTCCACAGGCACAACGACATACTTGCTCCATTGCTGAGGGGGACATTTTTATCCTCCATTTTCCCAGGCTTAGTACTTTTGTTTTTACGTTGTTTATTATTGTGGCTTTTACATTTTTGTCTGTTTTTATTGGCTGTTTTGTTATTGTAGTGCACCCTCCCTTTGGGGGGAGATGTGCAGCTATATAAATTTGATAAACAAATACTTTCAAGATTATCTCTGATTTACGTGAAATTTCTAAGCATGACCAGTCCTTTTACATCCTGTGGGTTGTTTTTTTTTCCTGCTCGCCAAGGGGAATGAAATGCACACAGCAGCTCTATGGATAATAGAGACTAATATGGATGAAGGAATGTTTCTTTAATGACCAAGTCTTCCAGGTACTGAGAAACAGCAAACTAGTGGGCATCTTAAGGCATAAGTCCAATTGATGAGAACTTTCAGGTAAATTTCCACAGCAACTAGGACATGACCCTTTTGTACGAATTCAAAATCAGTTCCAGATTTATCTTATTTATTTTTATCCCGCCTTTATTATTTTCTTTTATAAATAACTCAAGGTGGCAAAACATACCTAATATTCCTTCCTCCTCTATTTTCCCCACAACAGTAATTCTGGGGGTGGGGGGGGTGGTACTGAGAGAGAGAGAGTGTGGCGCAACTGGCCCAAGGTCACCCAGCTGGCTTTCACGCCTGAAGTGGAACTCACAGACTCTGGTTTCTAGTCTGGTGCCTTAACCACTAGACTAGACCAAACTGGTTCACATCTCTGTCTGATCTCATAGCATCAGCTGGTTTGGGAACCTGAGTCAATTTATTTCTAGCTCTGTGGTAGTTTATTTGAAGCCAGAGCATAGGTGATTTTTTTCCTGAACTTGTGGTTCTGCAGGGTTTGTGGTTGATTTCATTTTCACTGATGAAAAGAAATGCATCATCTTGTCTTCTGGAACCAAAGCGGCCACTGTTTTCTCTCACCAACTTACCTAGCATACCATTTACCTTCCTACTGCTTGCCTTGTTCCCAATAATTATCTACAAGCATTGCACTGCGGTTAATATGTAATCAAGATTGCAAGTAGGAGGATAAAATGCCTGATTATAAAGTTGCTGACATACTAGCATTTCACCATCGGGAGAAAAAAAAACAAAAAAAGCAAGGGCCTTTTAAATGTGCAATAGTTGTCAGCTGTGTAGCCAGTTAAGTATCTCCTCAAAGCAGCTGCTCTGACATGTTTGTTAAAATGGCTGAATAAATGGACACATTGTGCACTGAAAAGGTAGCAGTGGTTTCTTTTATTTCCCTTTTATATGAAATGGGGAAGAGGGGATTGAGTAACCCCAGTGCAACAACTGTTCCAGACAAGGCTCCAACTGGACAGTGTCCTTTGGTGAATTGGAAGGGAGATGGATGAACATGGATGGACTCATATTATTGGTATACAATCCCCAATTTCGAGGTTTAAATTATTTCTATGGGGATTGAAGATAGTATGCAACTATCTCTAATCCTATCAACTTTATATTTTTTTCATTTGCAAATGCATTAAGCAGGGCTTCATCTGTGCCCTATTAAGTTCCAGCAAGACATATTTAGGCACTTGCACAAAGTCACTGCTTTCATTTCCCAGTCCTAGAAACTGATTCACAATGATCTGCAATTAGTCTCCAGCTGATGCAAAAAAATCCTGAACAATGAAATTTAGCAGAATGGTTTCTGAACAATTGTGCTGAAATGTGATAGCATTAAGAGGTGAATTTCCACTTGTCTTTTCGGCTATTTCCTCTGTTACTGAAACCTGTCTGAAAGACTCCCATCCAATTCTCATTCATTAGAGAGAAAGAGCCATTTTGCTGCCAGAGACAATTCTGTCCTCCATCTTCATGGAAAATGGGTAAAATTCCTCAAAGTTTTGCTACTCAAAGTGAACTCCCACCATTCATTTTCAAACTGCAACAACTCAAATTTGGAGAGGAAATTTGCAACCCCTGTAGTCCAAGAAATGCCTTCTCTGGGCTCCCTGCTGGAGTTTGTCCATATACAGAAGCCACTTACTTGAGGGTCTGTGGCCGTATCTTCTTTCCAAACTTATGGTCAGCAAGTGCACTTTCTATGTCCTCGTGAACCATCTCTGCCTAAAACACAGAATCAGAAATAGATTGGGGAAGGAAAGATGCAATGGAAAAATGCAGACAACCTGTTTGGCAGACAAGCATTAATCGACTGTCCTAAACCTAGATTTTGTTGATGATGAATGCCTTCAGTTTAAAAACAAAGTGCAAAAGGGAAACATACAGGCACAGGGCATCAAGGGATTATTTTACAGGGCTGTGAGGGTTGCTAGCAGTGGAATTTCACAGAGAGCTTATTCAGATTTGAAGCAAAGGTTCTCTTCAATCCTCAAGTAAAACTACATTCTGGGAAGTTTTAAAGTTTCAAAATGCAGCCAACAAATATATTGCTGTATGAATCATGAAAGGTGTTTTGCTGCTGTGCAAACACATCCTCTTTTAAGGGGAGCTCTGCAAAACCCCTCCTATTTCTGAAAACAGTTCCTTGCTTGCATTTGTTTTGGCAAAGAATTCCAATGTGGAGCTTCTGCTGGCATGGAACTCTTGATAGGGCTTCATCCTCCCTTCTCCAAGCCATGAGATAATTTTGAAACTTTAAATATTCAGGGTTTTTTTCCCAAAAGAAGGGGAAGTTGAAGGGGACCCAGACATCCAGATATCTGGACACCCTCATGTATAATTTCAAAATGACTGATATTTCCCCCCAGTTAACTTATAAGGGAAACAAAAAGGCTTGCAAGGCATCCTGCTACATAAATCAATTGTTCATGGAGCTTCTACCACAGAAATTACAATGCTGGCATGAACTAGGCTCATAACCACCAAGTGTTTGTTGTGACTACTTCTAGATTAACCAACCAACCAACCAACAACCAAGGGCACTTCCATGTAAGGTCTTCAGGCCAGTTCAGAATCAGCTTCAGACTTGTCAAGCTAATGATACTATGTTCAGGAATTGAGGTGGTTTATTACTAGCTCAGTTGCAGTGTACTGCAGTAAGTGTACAAGATTCCATGCTTAAAGCCTTGATGCTCTGAACAGCTGCTGTCCTTTTGGCAGGCGATCTTGCCTCATGTAGTTCCTGGATCCTTTCTCTCCCCTCCCCCCCCTCCAGCTGCAGTAGCATCATTCTCAGGATTTCAAGGACAACATCAGTGAAGATGTTCAAAAGTGGGCTTCAAGCTGTTTTGAGGAATTAGTGAGTAGAATGTGATGAAGTTGGCCAACACATACGTCCAGAAAATGGCCATTACTTGATCCCATCCCTGTTATCATTCATCATCTACCATGCACAATCCCCAAAGGAAATTAATCAATGTGGATGATGCATAAAGTAGCAGAGGATTCTGCACTTAGAATCAGAAAAGGGCCACAGCCATCTTACAAAATGACCTCTAAACCATGTCGAGTTATTTCTATTTGTCTCAAAGAATCACACAGCAAAAAGCACCAAATACAGCTCCATAGTCTTCAGGCAATGGTTCTTGATCATCCCAAGTTCTAGGCCAGCATGTAGTTGTTACTGCAAGCAGAGTTCTGCCCACGTGCCACAGGATTGCCTCTCTCTAGGAATATCTAGGTCCCTTTTCTGAAATCTGGCCATCTAGTTGAACCGGGGAAGTGTGCCTTTCCCATAGCTGCCCCCATCTTATAGGACGCCCTCCCCTCAGCAAACTGGAAAACTCAGCTCTTTTAGTCTTTGGGATGACCATCAAGACTTGGCTTTTTATCCAGGTACTGGGATAATGTTGAGGGTTGGCTGTTGGGTTGGCTGTTGAGGCATCCCAAGGGAATGACTGAGGCGCCAAGTTGTGTTTTATGGTTTTTATAGCTCAGGATTTAATTGCTTTTGTGAGCTTCCCAGAGTCATGTTTTAAGATGGACAACCATATAAATCTTAAAAATAATAAAATAAAATAATAAAATAAAATTTAAAAACTCCGACATCTGGAACAACCTTTCATTTGGGGGATTGGTTGGGACTGTAACTCGACTGAGTTCTCATAACCCCATTTAGCTCCCTCATCAAAAAGGACTGAAGAACTGCCACTTACCTCCACTTCATCACAATTAAAGAAGTGAATGTCAGGCTTGTGCTGTTCAGAGTCTTGACACACCAGCAGGAGGATGGAGGGATATCGCATCTGATTCAGGACAGTCTGGCAGTGCTGGACTGTTGGCAGAAGGAAGTCTTCGAGCTCTTCCTGAAAAGCAACACCAAAGAGAATGTGCTCCAAATATACATAAAGGGATGCTCAGCTAGAGGTGGCATTCGCACATTGAAAAGGCTCTTTCCAAAAGGAGACCATGAACATAGGACCGTTTTGAGTTGCCCTTAGGACTTTAAATCCATTAGCAGCTACGTTCTCAGCGTCAGAGTGGCAAAGCTATTGCTGGCGCACATTATTCAGCAGGGAGTGAAAGAAAGGAAGCATAACTATTGGTACTTGTGATAAATCGGGACATGTTGGAAAAAAAACTGATGAAGATACATAAGTCTTTTGTAATGATCTGTTTATATCTTGCCTTAATAATGGATTCTCTCAATGCCAACCAGAAAAAATTATCCGTAACCCCTCGGAGGTAGTTCTTTCAGTTTATACATTTGACTCAAGAGTGGATTGTGAGCATTATTTATTCCAATAAAATCTCTCTGGGCTTTCTAAAAGGTAGGCACGACTCTTCGTATTTAGTTTAACTTGATAGAAGTTCAGTATTTTTATTCTGAGCACTACTGTAGAGTTTCTTTATTTCTTACTTGGAAAATAATTTGGAAAATTTCCACACTTTTGTTGTGGAAATTAGTTTCATTCACACATCATATGTGTGATATCATATGATGTCACATCGTGACGGCATGCTGGCCACATGACCGTAGAATCTCTTCGGACAGCTCTGGTTCAACAGGCCTTGAAATGGAGATGAACACCCCCCCCCCATAGTCAGCAATGACGAGCAGAGTAAAATCCGCAGGGATTCCATACTTTACATCAGTGGTTCTCAACCTTTTTAATGCCACGACCCAAACCGGTCGTAAGTCGAGGACTAAACCGGTCGTACGTCGAGGACTACCCAACTGGTCGTAAGTCGAGGACTTTCCCTGCCCGGGAGCGCCGCACATGTCTGGTTCCGCCCCCTGTGCCGGCCGAGGCGTAGCTGGCAAGCCGCAGAGACGGAGCAGGCCAACCACCAGCTGGCCCAGCCCAAGGGAGGTAAGGCACCCGCCGGAAAAGGGAAAAAAATGGCGGACAAAAAAAAATGGCGGACAAAAAAATGGGGGACAGCCTTGCTTGGCGACCCCCGTGAAATGGTCGATCGACCCCAAATGGGGTCCCGACCCACAGGTTGAGAACCACTGCTTTACATATCAAGTACCATACCTTACCATAACTAGACCTAGTTTGTAATGATAATCATATTTTTTTTTATCTGCTCCAAATTTCTTTTCCTATAATTTTAGTTAGGGATAGAAGCATGAGCAAAATACAAAAACAAATCATGGTGATCCAGAAGATCACAAATAAGCCATGCTTCCCCACTCATACATCATGTAAGCCATAATTGCAATTAACAAGACAGTTATTTATTATCCCCAATGAAAACATGGTTTATTTACCTGTCTTGTTTGCACCTAATGCCAACCCAGAAGCAAATAAATCACTCTGTGGCTAAGTGAAATATGTAGGCCCAGTCTTTATCATTTTGATGCCCCTGTAAATGCATTATCTCATTAGATCCATCCACAATATGGGAATTATAGTCCAACCAACTTGGAGGGTGCTAGATCAGGGGAGGCTGCCTTGTATTATGTTTCCATTTACCAGCACAGCTCCTAATCTATCAAGACCATTTATTCTAATTGTAATGTGAATAACCTCTCTTGTCCAACACCCAATGTTTTGGAAGAACAGAAAGCATTTCCATTAAAGTGCAATTCATCACTCTGCTCAGTCAGCTTGATTAGATCAGTCCTATCTACTGGAATAGAGGCACACCGACAACAAGGTGCTTGTTATGCACGTAGGCGGAAGAAATCGGGCAGACTTTCGACTTTTTGTTTTGGTTGGTCTGAGCATGAATTCCATCCAGTTTAATATTCTTAGAGAAGCCTGTGGCAATTCATCAACCCATTGAGGAAATAATATGCAATACGTTTATGTAAATCTTAAACATTCTAATGTACATTTGGCATTTTGCCACACCATCCCCTTCCAAAAGAAGTCTCTGCTGCTCACCTGAGTTACACAATCCAACAGCCGAATAGATTTGTCATTCACCTGCAGCAGCATTTCCTGGGCCCAGATCTTCTCTTTGGAGTTCAGCTGTTTGAGCTTCCTGACGGCATCTTCCACTGTTACAATGGCCTCGCTTTTATCCATGATGAAGGTAGCCAGGTGCTGGAAAGAGGGGGAAACACCCCGTAAGGTCAAACAGGGGTGATAAACAATTTAACTCCAGAGCTTGATAGTATTCGTGGAGTACATGCGGGTTCATAGAGACAGCTAACTCTGGTTTTTACAAGTGATAACAGCAGAAATGACATTTTTTAAAATTTGATTTATTAGATTTTTTTATCCCACCTTTCTTACTTTAGAGGTAAGTCAAGATGGTGAACAAGCCTAATATTCCTTCCTCCCCCTATTTTCCCCACAAGAACAATCCTGTGAGGGGGGGTTGGGCTGAAAGAGAGAGAAATGGCCCAAGGTCACCCAGCTGGCTTTCGGGGCTTAGATAGGCTAGAATTCACAGTCTCCTGGTTTCTATCCCGGTGTCTTAACACTAAACCAAACCGGCTCTCTGATTTTGGCTCTCCCCCAATTCTATGATGCAAATACTGCCAGTGTATAAAAAAAAAAATCACTGCTATAGATTTGATGGTTTTGTTTATCAACAGGCTCTCAATCTTGCTTTATAGAAGATATTTTGCAAAAGAGCTATGTGAACTGATAAGGACCTGCAACCAAATTCTAGGTTCTGTTTTGAAGAACTGGTAAGTACTATATATTTAAACACACGTGGCAGCTCTTAATTAGTTCTCTCTCCCAAGTGCAGAGTCCTTTAGATTGAGACCACAACAAGGCATTCTGGAAGCAATAAAAAAATAATAAAACAGCCAGGCATGATTGGACTTGTAATAATTCCACCTCAGCTCAAAACCTGTTGTCCTAGTTTGAAGGGGAAAAAGCCCTACTTGGCTCAACACACTCCCAACAGTTTGCTTTCTAGATGTGAGGATTTGCATAAATAGGCTATTTTTGTGCAGGCCTTACTGATAATAATGCCAGGAGGAAGCAGCATTGTTGTCAAACAGTGCAATCAAACACACTGGAAAGGAGGCCTTTTCCTAATCTCCACCTGCCTGCTGTTGTTGACTGATGAAAAGAAGCTGTTCTTCCTTGACTCAGGAAAAATTGCACAATCAGTGGTGGGATTCAAATATGTGAACAACTGGTTCTCTGACGATGCCGCTTCCGGAAATCCATTCTGGGCCCGGGCAACAAAAAATTAGCTACCGGTTCTGCTGAAATAGTGCGAACCAGCTGAATCCCACCACTGCTCACACAATACTCCCACTTTGGCTTTATCATCCAGCAGAGGAAATTGTAAAGACCCTTCAAAATTACATTAATCCATTTTGCTAGGAAACTCAGATCACAGTACTCGCTGTGAAGAGTCCAGCTTCTTAGATTATAAATTTGACCATTGTGGACCTTCTTATGCTGGTGTTGCACTTGACCTCCTTCTTATAATCCAGCAAGCAAAACACATGTTTACTTAATTTTGCACTTTACTGGCTTGAAAAAAACATAACAGCTCAACAGTATTGTATCTTTTGACAACACTGTCTGCTGCCAGGGTTAAGTTGAATTCCCCACTCATACTTGCCAAATTTCTGTCCATCTGAAAAGGAGCTATAAGATTTTTTCCTGGGAGGTTGAAAACCTTTTTAGTTTCCTCAATCTCTTTTTGAAAGCAAAGCTAAGAAACCAGGCTGGTTAATAAGATCGGGCCACGTTTGCAACTGGAGAAGCGGCAAAAGACATAGCAGCTTTTTCCCCCTTTAATTCCCTCACTGCTGCAAAGGGCCTATTCCCACGGAGGGTCTGCAACGGAGGAGGACATGCTAAAATGGCACTTCAACTGGTAGAGCAGGGGTAGTCAACCTTGGCTCTTTTATGACTCGTGGACTTCAACTCCCAGAATTCCTGAGCCAGCTGTGCTGGCTCAGGATTTCTGGGAGTTGAAGTCCACGAGTCATAAAAGAGCCAAGGTTGACTACCCCTGTGGTAGAGCATCAGAGAGAGCTGGACCTTTACTCTGGCAATAACATGGGCATTTTGGTAGCCCTTGGAGGAATGATTTGCAAGCATCAAAATTGCTGCCAGGCTTCCAGGCATGAAATGCTCTAGTATAGTGTTTCTCAAATTTGGCAACTTTTAAGTTGTGTGGACTTCAACTCCCAGAATTCCCTAGCCAGCATGCAACAACACTTTTGCTAAGAATAAAAAAGACCTTGGTGCAGAATTATAGAAACTGTATCTGTATTGATATGTGACCTTGCTAATGAAGACGAATCTACTTATGAGAGCTTGGTGTACTGCCAATCGTATTTTCTTTGATTAGAGTTCAGGATGAAAGCTCACTTTATGCCTGGACAAACATGATAAGGAGAGACATATATTCCGGGTACTGAAAGATCAAAGGCATCACTCCTGTGGAAATGACCACAATCATCTTATTGCTTATTTCCAAAAAGAATCGCCAGAATTTAAGTCAGTGGTTCTCAACCTTTTTAATACCGCAACCCCCAACCGGTCGTAAGTCGAGGACTAAACCGGTTGTAAGTTGAGGACTAAACCAGTCGTAAGTCGAGGACTAAACCGGTCGTAAGTCGAGGACTAAACCGGTCGTAAGTCGAGGACTTTCCCTGCCCGGGAGCGCCGCGCATGCGTGGTTCCGCCCCCTGTGCCAGCCGAGGCGTAGCTGGCAAGCGGCAGAGACGGAGCAGGCCGACCACCAGCTGGCCCAGCTCAAGGGAGGTAAGGCACCCACCGGAAAAGGGGAAAAATAATGGCGGACAGCCTTGCTTGGCGACCCCCGTGAAATGGTTGATCAACCCCAAATGGGGTCGCGACCCATAGGTTGAGAACCGCTGATTTAAGTTCTATGCACAGTTCCAACTTCAGCCTTCTGAGAACTCAATACCTTAAATATGGCACAAATGATGATTTGCTTATTTTAGACAAAGTTGCATTTGAATATGTAATCCCAGCCTTTTATAGGAAGCCCACAGCATGCATGCAGTCACGATGAACATGCAACTGGAAAGCACTATCCCTCATGCTGGCCCTCCGTTCTTCCATCCACTGAATGAACCAAGGCTACACCGGCAGCAGGGAATCTGGCTTTTGGCCTGTTGGGACCAGCAGAGCCTTCACCTCCAATCCAGTGCTTTCCATTTATCTCCCCATCGGGAGCAATTCTCTTTTACAAAGGCACCAATAGAAGTTTTATTTTTTAATTTATTTTTTAAAAGCCTCACTGGTGCACTGGGAACTATTTCTAAATGATGGGAACATAGGTGGCATGGGGACAATCTAGCTTTCCCCTTTTTAAGAATTGATTTAAATTTATCTCTCACCTCCCCCCCATTAGTAATCTTGGGGGAAAAAGGGGGGGGGAAATTAAGCAAATGGAAGGATTTTCCATTGCCTTCTTCTTTTGCTTGCTCACATTGAACCTGCTAAGCTGCCAGGGCCGCATTATTAGTGCTAACTTTAAAGAATTTATTTGTTTTATTTATTAGATTTATTAGCTGACCATCTCCTTCCTGTGATTTATTCCTGTCGTGGTCGCAGTTGTGCATGGAGATTGTCTGTTGATTCAGTTCGGTTACCCACTGCTAAGTAGTTTTCAACTCACCTGGACATGGTATTGAGATGTTTCGTGCATGATGATGTTTGAGTTGGAGTATTTCTTCCTTTGTTCTGTGGGAGAAAAAAAAAAGTAGGATAATAATTGATCCAGGACTTGGCTACCTTTTAGACTGCTTTCTTCCAAAAATGATTCTAGTGTTATCCCAGCAGAATAACAGCAACATTCTAGCATGTATGGGTATTATTTAGTTACGTAAGTCCCCAAGTAGGTATTTTCTTGGCAAACACAGTCCGACTTCTTCATTATCCAGAAAGACAGAGAGGCTGTCACTCAGTGCCAAAGACAATTTCCCCTCCTTGGCTCTTTAAAAAGTCCTGATACAGTTTTCCCATACTTAGTGCTCACTAGATATGGTTAGGATGTAACTCTCACATCCTCTCCTTCAACATATAACCATCACATTCTGATAGCAGACATTCAGTATGAGAATATTGATTGGGGAATTCTAAGAATTGAAGTTCAAAGATCAGAGACTATCTAATTAATGAATTTTAAAAATTCACTTTTTGGAGATGAAATAAGAGGAGAGGGGAGGGAAGAGGAGAGGGGAGGGGAGAGGAGAGAAGAGGATCCTACACATGTGGAAGGGAAACATAGAAAACTAAGCTTTGATTTCACATCAGTAAGATTCTACCGGCCAATGCTGCATATCAAAAATTCAAAATCAGCCATCCACAAATGTTCGTTTATTTATTGTTTAAAAACTGCCATTCAGCCATAAGAAATGTTACACATAGAACATTATACATAATGCAAAAACCACTTGAATATTATATAACAATAAAATTACAAATTACTTAGCATTAAACACATTTTCCATCAATCAATCAACCAACCAGTTAATTTAAAAAAATTTTTTTAAATACCTGGTGAAAAAGAAACATTGTGATTTGGTGTCATATAAAAGCAAAGTCAGTGCTCATACCATCTTCCTAGAAAGGGCATTTAAAAGTTGGGACACCATCACCAAGATGCATTATGGAATTGCATTATGTACTTGTCAGTGATGCTTTGGGGAATAGAGCCTTTTTTGAAAAACTAATAAACAAGTAAGATTATATGACTGGCGCTTTTTTCTAATATTTCAGCTCCAGTCCATTTTAGGACTTTATAGGTTGAATTAGGAAGATTCTGTTACTGTAGTTTTATATTAGAGTAGAATTAGTTCATCTGATCAAGCTTCTGGTCTGGTCTACCTGGGAAAGCTAACATCAGTCCTGCAAATCTGCCATCTCATTTATAACTTGAGAAGTTAAGAAGGTTCCTTTCTGAGTCTCTTTCTTTACTCATTATGCAACTGTGTGCTATGCCCTCTCTTATCTGATTGTTCCCTAGATAGCATCTTTCCCCTCCACACACCCAAACACCCAAGGTCATTTCCACATTTCATTATAATTCTTCACTTCCGGTGATATGAACAGTATACTTTTATTGATGCAGCCTAAAATGACAATCCCTTTTTTTTTTGTAGTCACATTTTAAAAAAGAGAATGGACAACCATTTGTCTGAAATGGTGTAGGGTTTTCTGCTTGAGCACGGGGTTGGACTAGAAGACCTCCAAGGTCTCTTCCAACTCTTGTTATTCTGTTACTCTACTGACTCATTCTCAGTTTTTAATCACTACTATTCCAAAATCTTTTTGCATTACTTGTCAACACCGCTGTTTGGCGGTTTAAACACCCCGCCGGAGTCTCACGGCTCGAGCTCCCTCGTCGAGACGGTGAGCTGCCTGGGGGCCGGTACCGGTTGTCCTCTTCCTCCACCGTGCTGTCCTTCACCTTCCCCTCCTCTTGTATGTCGAGCCTGGGAGGGCTTGACATTACTACAATTAGCATGTCAGGTGTATAACTGTGCAATTTACATTTGTTTTGTAAATAAAGAACTCTGCATTTGCCTCTGTTAAATGTCATTCCATTACATTTGCAGAAAATACACTAGATGTGAAAAGGTTTTGCTTAAGAAATAACCTACAGCTTCCTGCTAAAAAATAATCAGGTTTACTGCCTCCTTTGGGTCATTTCCACACTATTTTTATCTTTTACTTTAAAAGGAGTCTAGCTAAATATTGTTTTCACTGCTATTGATTTGAATATTGAGGCCCTTTAGTATCTTCTTCCAGCTGATCAATACTAGAGTGCAAAAACTGGCATTGAAGCATTCCCTGTCTCTATTTTAAGTTCATGTTGTGTTATTTTTTCTGCTCAACAACCTGAGCAGCTGCGATAAGAACAGGCTGCAAGCCACCAAATTCTATCCCGTATATATATTATATATGCATATATAGAAGATAGAAGACAGAATACTTTATTGGCCAAATTCCAATAAAGGAATTCCAGTGCAGAAGCTCTCAGTGTACATGCAAAACAACAAAATAATAATCATAATAATAAAGTAATAATCATAATAATAATATTAATAAGAGAAGGTATTGGAACAGATGAGAAGATAATAATACAGCCATCTACATGAATAAATATAACTATACATAAGATAGTACTGTGGGAATTAAGTGTTCAGCAGAGTGATGGCATGTGTCTAGTTGGCATGCAATGCCCTGTAGCAGGGAGGAGTTGAAACAGTTTATGACCAGGATGTGAGGGATCTGTAGATATTTCAATATAAGTACTAGAAAAATCTGTGAAGTACAATGATTGGACCATAGCAGAAGGGGGGGGGAAGAGCAGGGGATATTCTCATTCTTTCTTAAGATTTCTATTTCCCAAAACAGATGAGAAAAAAATAAGGAACAGCAATTGTTTCTCTTATTGTTCTGAAGAGCTTTCTGCTTTCTTGCTTTCTCCAAAATACCTAATAAATAAAAGCTCCAGAGAAAAAATAAACATGCTCCTGGGCATCCTTCTTGCCATGGGACACCCTTGTCCTGACAAACCTGGAAGGAGATTCATAGATGTCTGCGTGAGAAATCTACTTGACAATGATTATACAAACTTGCAAATAAGATGTTGTTTAGTCGTCTGTGTTGAATAAAAGACATCCTGATGACCAGACTGGAGAGATTTACAACATTCTTTTCTTCTCCAGCTACATCTGGCTGACCTAGTCATCAGTAAGCTAGAAATAATTTACAGTGATGTAATAATGGTATGTATGAATTAATTTGATGGGTTATCATAACAGGTTAGAAAATATTATTTTAGAATGCTATTCTAAAGTTTAAAAACATCCTGTGCTTTGTACAACCTAAATACACAAAATGCAACTAAAAAAAAAAGATGAAAAGCACAAGCAAGAATAAATGATTGCTAAGAGACTAAAGAGAAACATACTATAAAAGAATCCCAGGGAAAGAATGTTACTGACATAAATAGGAAAGTTATGTACTGTACATCATAATACGACAGCCAGAGTGTTAAGGGAGTAAAAAGCTGGGATATTAGCACAACAGAAGACAAACAAAAAGAATATTTATACTCAGCAATTCCTCCTGAAAGGAATTTTTTTTAAAAAAAATATTCTGGTTTTGTAGAACAACCAGATGGCTTCATGAAAGAGTTTAAGTCAGGGTGAGTGGATTTAGCCAATTCAATTGCCTCAAATCTTGATCTGAGCCAGCCAGGTGAAGATCCAAATAACTATATACTAGCTAACTATAAACAAGCAAGATCTGAGCTAGCATTCTGAATATAAGTATAGGATTAAGAAAAGTAAAGTCTTTGCTGTTCAAAGGAAAATGTTTAAAAAAAAACTTATTTGGTGTAAGAATCTCAGATCATGTATAAAGAAGTCTTTGAATTCCAAATTGTTAATTTAAATTTAATATTCATTCAAGGAATGAAATGATTCTTTTTCAATATTTGTTATTTAAAAAATAAAAATGAAGACATAATTCACACAAAATGGCAAGGATAAGGAGCTGAGCAGAAATTCCTTGATCTTTAAGGGCACAAAACACCAATTTAAGTAACAAAGATGGAAGAAGAGGTTCTGGGCTCAGGAGGTGGGAGAGAGGCTACAATTCAAGCAAGACAATTCTGCATCTAGTTTTTTTTGTTTCCATTGGTTATAACTGAATAATGTGGCATGCAACTAGAGACATGGGAAGGAAATGACAGATTCTCCTCTCTTTGCTATCCATCACTGAAATAATAGCAAGTCACATATAGTAAGCCATTGTGATACAAGAGGCCTATGTTTCTAGATCCAAGATAAGTCCATAAAGAGAGGTTAGTCAGAAAAGGTCTTCAGAACAGGACAAAGATTTGTTGTCTGTGTCTTGTTCTGAAGAGGGCTGTATATATCCTACACTTGTGAAGAAGGGGATGGAGCAAGTTCTCCTCCACAAAAGATAAGCCAGGCCCTAAGGAAAACTTCCATTACAGTGATATTCTTTGTTTCCTTCATCAATCTTCCTTTCCTGAGCTATTGGAGGACACAATTTCTGGCATCATCAATCTATTCTGTCACATTATGTGCTACTGCTCAGCATAAAGGATGAAGACTCACCAATGCTCCACTTTTCTATCTCTTTGATAATCAAGGCAGCTTACAACAGTAAACCCAAACAGAAAAATGAAACAAAGCAGCATTAATATAATTCAAGTTCAAATAAGAATCAAACATTCAAGTACATTCATTCATCTATCTTCTATATAAATAAAAATGTAAATGTTCGTTTGTTCAAAACCTTAAATCTCCGAAAGTTCTTCACTGATTGCTTTGAAATTTTGACACAACTTTGCATTCGAATACGTGTGTGTTTTTATATACCTACTATTATATAGATGTCACACCTGTGACAGGTAAAACATGCTCTTTAAAGCATAAAAACATGCTTTAATGAGCAACGTCGTAGAAGCAACAATCTTGATAGGACCTTTCAAAGGTGAAGATGTCCTCATTCCTCGCATTCCTATGATTCCAACGGATATGCCATTTCAATTTAAGAGATTGCAATTCCCAATTCGATTGGCGTTTGCAATCACCATCAACAAAGCTCAGGGCCAATCTTTAGAATTGTGCGGTTTATATCTAGACACGGATTGCTTCTCATATGGACAATTATATGTTGCGTGTTCTAGAGTCGGCAAA